TTTCTTGTATAATGAATGGAAGAGTTGAAAAATATATCTATCTGAAATCAGAATGGGGAGGATGAGAACTAGAAGTAGATAACTTTGAGATCTAGGGCTTTATGTTTCTAAAAATCTTTTTTTTTCATTATCTTTCTCTTTTGCAGGTACTGTTTTTGCATTTCTTATTGTGATGGTCTTGATTGTCTTCTGGATAAAATGGTGAGTGGTGAGACTTAACAGCTTGCAATCTGTCAAGTCATTTACTTATATCTTCAATCACCCAGGCTTGTTGTAAGTGGCCTGATGCACGTTCATTATACTAATGTATATACATTCATTGTCATGAGTGACTGTAAAATCTAATTCAGTCTCAATATGAAGTTCTTTTCTATTGCAGTTAGATTGTGTAATCAAGGATTGAAAAACATACTGTATGCTTGAAAAGAAATTCAGAAAACAAACAACTGTCATTAAGACACAGCATTTGTGACATTAATGATGACATATCTGCCTATGCATCACAACAGAGTCTTAATGCAAGCTCCCATTTAGAAAACAAAAATAATCTTTAAAAAAAAAGATCTGGAAGAGTTGCAATAAAGATTGCTTAAATGGAGCCTAACCTCAGGGACTAACTGATGGAAAAAGCTGAAGAGAAATGTTTACTTGTCTGAATTGTGTAGTGCAACGTTATGGAAATTAAAGAGCACAATCCTCCACTGTTCCATTCCAGGCCCTGCAGGAAAGACCCCAATAAGAAGCCCGTGGAGAATGTGTAATCAAGCCATTACAAGCAGGCCTGGTAAATGTAACCTCATGCAGGACATAGTGTCGTTTCTCTGTGCAAGAAAGCAAGGAGTCTAATATTTTTCCTACTTGTTATGACTGGTCTACATTGATCATTTGTTAACTATTGATCATTTGTTACCAAGCACTGAAAGCAGACTTCACTTACATATATTTTTAATGGCCTGAATGATATTAAATATATCTCAATTTAATTCCATCCGTGCATCATTCTGGTTTTCTAACCACTTCATCCAATTCAGGTGGCAGGGGCACCGGAGCCTATCCCAGCAATCACCAAGTGCAAGACAGGATACACCCTGTACAGGACACCACTCCATTGCAAGACAGACACATAGACACAGACACAAATATGGACAAATATGGACACATACCAGGGCCAGTTAACTGTCTTTGGCCTGTGAGAGAACCTGGAGGAAACCCATACTGTATGTGAATACTAAAAGAGCATACAAACCCCACACATACAGTATAATATCCCAGGTCTGGAATTGAATCCAGGACCCCAACACTGTGAGGCAGTAGGTAGGTAGGTCCCTTTTCAGGCCATAAAAGCCTATCGGGAATGGGGGGGCAAAGGCCATCATTTTTCATTGACCTTTGGAACTGACGTGGTCAGCATCACGTTCCGGCCAGCCTACTACCCCCAGAAGGATTAACCCCCAGTACTCATTTGGAAAGCAGTAGACCTGGGAGCCATCTGGAAGGAGCCAGAGCAAGCTACATCACTTGCCCCTACTTGGGATTGAACCCTGGACCTTCCAGTCTGGAGCTAGATGCTCTTGGCGCCTGAGATACCATGGCTCCACTATGAGGCAGGAAAGCTAATCAAAGTGCCACTCAATACAATTAATACTTTTCATTAAAGATATTAAGGAAGTCCATACCAAATACACCATGAAAATGAAACCAATAGTTATTTTCCAGTGTGCCCCTGATATGAATGCACATTCTGAATTTTCAGAACACACATTCTGAAGAGTTCTGAATCCTGAACATTTTAATGTTCTTCTGAAATTTTACAGTGTTGTACTTTGTCTTTTCTTATTTTGCTCCACAGCATTTAAGAAATAAAGACCAGGACGTTGTTAGGAAGTCTCTTCCGGTGAAGCGTGGAGCTTTGCAGCACAAAATGTCCAGATGTTAATTTTTTTAATGAGCAATAAAATAAATTTAAAGGAAATCATTGGTTAATGATTTGCTTTTATTTAAATATATATATTAAAGGACATTTTGTAGTTCTGGATTGGGAAAATAAAGCATTTTTGTATTTTTAATTTGATGGTAATATTCAGTCTTACTGTAAGACAGTGGTTACTGTATGTGTAAGGGAATCATATCTTCTCAGGCCTGGGGAAATAAGCCTAAGAAATAAATAAAGGGATTGGTCCTGGGTGCTTAAATTAATATTTGTGAGCCCTGTAATGTATTAGTATACACATACAATAACTAAATTGCCCTTACAGTGGATGCTTTTTTCTTCCATTTGAAAAGTCTTACTTATATTTTTTTATAAAATGCAAAATTACATTAGTCTGAATACATTTTAAATAAAATAAACACAGCATTGTTAGTAAAACCCAAACAAGGGTTTGAATTGTGTGATACCACAGACAGTAGAACAACATTGTATTGTGGGCATTTCCATGAATGCTGATGGCAAAAATATATGTTATCAGATACTTTCAGAGAAAAATTATCAGGATCTGAGAAAATGCTTTATGGAGAAGCTGTTTCTTAGTCTATAATCATAGCCCAGAGATCAAAATTCTGTTGTTTTGTTGGTATTACTGTAAATTGCACATACTGTTGTTTCTAAGTTAGGAGGTTTTTCCATAAATGTTCTGTATTGAGTGTTCCTTGCTCTTTTCTGCGGAAACCTCTCCAGTAGTCCCACTCAAATGTGAGAATTTTCTCCACTATTAGTGGAGTTTCTCCACTTCTAGTTTAAAAAAGTGTGATACTTACTGTAACACCAATAGTTTAAAATGGATAGTTTCTGTATTATTGTCCATTATTAGGATACAGTTGCTTAAATACTGTACATTAACCAACAAAGCACCCTCAATCTGAAGTTTTCTTATTCTTATCTCAATGGGTCACTCTTTGGCTGTGGAGGGGAAATATAGTGGTGATATGATATGTCAACATTAACATGCTTATGCTATGCTTATGTTTAAAGGTTTGTGCTTAATATGTGTTTAACAAAGTGAGAAGTGGTTTTGCTGAAGCTGGTGTCTAATGTACAACGTTAGCCTGTAAGCAGAATTTTATACCTAACAGAGATGCCTATTACATTAATAAAATGAATTTGGTTTTGGAAGTGGGATGACAATTGGAAATTAAAGAAGACAATGAAAAAAAAAAAGTAAGCCACCTGAAAAAAATAATAAAGAAGGCCACATTCACCTTTTCTGTGGAGAACTGTATGGAACATGCATATGATCATCCATGGTGAAAATTAAAAAGGAACAGTAAAATAGGCAATCTCTGAAAGCTTTTCCAGCTTTGCATTATTTTTTTTTCTTTTTACTTTTCAGCATTGAAGTAACCTGTACTTGTTTCTTCACAGCTCCCCTGTCTAATTAAGCAATATGATAGCAGTATGGTGTAACTGATTCAGAGCAGCGAATGAGACTCCCTATGACTAGCAGGTTAATGCATTTCAGGTTTTATAAATGGTTTTCAAAAAAAATACCTGGAATGTTTATGGCCTTTACCTTTTTTTAAGGGTAACTGTACAGAAACAAGTGAATTTAATGCTGTTGTAAACATCACTTTTCTGTTCCAACAGAACAGAAATAAACCAAAATATTGTAATACTTTCTATTACTGGGAAAAAACATTTTCAATTGGCTTACAGTGCTATCAGATATTGTTTTTTTCATATTGTATTTACTATGAAATTTACAATAAAAATGCTGCATTTACAGAATAGGTTTTCCTGTATGAGCTTTTCATTTCACAAGTGCACTCTTAAATATTTTAAAATATGCATCTTCTCCCATTTGTTTAAATAGCCCATGCTACTGAAAATGGATTTTCACATTCTGTAGCAATTTCTGAATAAATTAATATATATATGTGTGTGTGTCCAACTAAACAGCTTCACTGCCAAGCGAGTGCCCTCTGATTGATCTCCAGCATTAACCTGTAACTACGTATAATTAATGCTGGCAAATACAGTGCATTTTCTCAATAATGTAAACTCCTACCAATAGATGGTAAGTATCACTACAGACATCAAATCTTCAGCTTATATTTTGTTTTGGATGTCCTGAAAATTATTTGTCAAAGCCATGAAAAGGACACAGGAAATAGTGTCACAAGTAAGTCTTATGTAAATTCCCCTTTTCCATCTCTTATCTGTTAGCAAGAAGCTGCTTATTCCTCATAATGCAAGCTCATGCATCATTCAATCCTGAAAACAGGAGCACAAATCCGGTCTAAGCCTAGTAAGGGATACGACAGCATCACAGATGACTTAAACACATACGATAGCTGAATCTAGCAAATATGTCAGTGTCGGATGGAAAGAAACTGAAGCAGCGAGGGAAAACTCACATGAATACAGGGGGGTCATACAAGCTCCTCATATAAGATGTTTGGGCAGAAAAACAGTCACTAATACGGGAGGAACATTCAAAGAAGGTGCCTGCACCCAGAAAACACACACAAACTCAAAAGGAACATGCAAATTCCACACAGAAGGACCCAAGAGCTCAGTAACATGGTTGCTGTGTTTACTTGCATGGGAATCACACATCTTCTTTAAGTCTGAGAACACAGTGAAAATGAAGGTGTAAGACATTTTTGTGGATACAAAACATATTAAAAGGATGCCCCAGAGTGGGAGAAAGAGCACAGGTTCCAAGTAATATTAAAACACATTGAAAAAAAAGAGACAATAAAGACTTTAATGGAAAATACATTTTCTAAATAATGTAAACCCCTAGCAATAGCAATCACAAGAATTTTACAATCTTGATCTGCCTGAAAACTGTGGAATACAGTATTTGTAAGCTTTTTCAAACAAACTGATTTGGTTATATGGTCTGCAGCTGGTGCAGGTCCTTAGGTAAGATGAATAAAAAAATGTATTACTCATGACAGTATATCCAATATAGCTTACACACAAAACAATATTATTATTTTTTTGTTAGAACAGAACATGTTCACTTATAAAAAAAAATCTAATTTGACTAGAATTAAGAAAATGTGGTGGCTCTCATAATATGTGAATCAAAAATAAGACTCTCATTTCAGAGCAGTGATCCAGTTCAGGTTTTATAGACCGCATTCTCTTGTACTAAAGAAGAGGTGTAACATTAAACATGTCCTTCATGTTACTGTAACCCCTTGTCAGCAAGACTAAATGTACTCAGAACGATGTAACAAGCATTTACAATCCAGCACCTGGTGTGAGATTACATAAGGCTCCATCATCAGTGCTTGTTGTTTATAATTCTTTGAAAGAGCTGGCAGCTCAGAATGCCCTGACATGCTTATCACATGTCATCTATCTTATTTATAGGGCCTCCTGTACTAACCTGCTACCCTCTCATAGCCAGGGATGCTCATACAGTATCTGCCACTCACACAGTGACCTTATTACGGCTTGATGGTCGGCTGGATTTCAGGTTGTGTCCTTTACCCAGCTGAGGTGAGTCGTCCTCCTTCAGGGGCATTGGGGCCACCAGCAGTCCACCATGGGCTCCTCTCTCCACCCTGCCCTGCTCTGTGGCCAGATTAACCCAGTTCTGCTGGTTGGCCAGCTTGTTGCTGAAGGTCTTGAGCTTGGGAGAGTGTCGGCAGCTAGAAGCGGAATTGGTGGGCACACAGGGTTTCCAGCCAGACAGGGACATGTAGCCCATCTTAGGCCTCTCTTCAGCTTTGGCCTCTTGGGACCTGTGGTAGAAGGTGCTAGCCAAGCCTTCCTTGATCTTCTTCCAGCCCAGGTGGTACATCTCCATGAGGTTGAGCAGCAAAGAGATGGAAGCCACCGTCAGCATGAAGATGATGAAGACGTTCTTCTCCGTGGGCCGGGAGACAAAGCAGTCCACAACGTTGGGACAAGGCCAGCGGCTGCATTTGTACATGGCCTGAAGGAAGACGCCGTAGATGAAGTACTGGCCCAGGATGAAGCCCACCTCAAAGAGTGTCCGCGCCAGGATGCTGCACACATAGGTGTGGAGCAAGGAGCCGCGTAGTCTGAAACGAGAGGCCTGCTCCTCCCCAGGGACACGTTTGCCATCCCTGACGATGATCAGCAGGTCCCTCTCCCCCTTCTCCTGCTCTGCCTCCCGCCTCTTCTGCTCCATGCGCACATGGTGCAGCGCGTGGCCCATGTAGACCAGTGAGGGCGTGGACACGAAGACGATCTGCAGGACCCAGTAGCGCACGTGCGAGATGGGGAAGGCATGGTCGTAGCACAGGTTCTGGCAGCCGGGCTGCTGCGTGTTGCAGGTGAAGCCCGACTGCTCGTCCCCCCACACGTTCTCTATGGCCGCGCCCAGCACTAGCATGCGGAAGATGAACAGGACGGTCAGCCACACCTTGCCCACCATGGTGGAGTGCTCGTGGACCTGTTCCAGGACTTTCAGCAGGAAAGTCCAGTCGCCCATTGCCCCCCTGACCTGTCCGAGTACTGCTGACAACACACTGGACCTGTGTGGAAAGAGAGTGGACCCCTGAGGCAAAAAGAAAAACTCAATCATCGGAATGTAGAACACACAGGCCAGCACAATACCGCATAGCATCGCATAGCATAGCACAGGGCACCGCAGTACATCACAGCATAGCATTGCACAACACAACACAGTACAACGCAGCACAGTGCAGTGACACACAACATAGCATAGCACAGGGCAGCATACAGTACTGTATTCAATATAGCCAAGCACAGCATTGCATTGCATAATTTAGTACAGCACAGAACAGCACAGTGCAGCACAGTACAAGATAGCATAGCACAACACAGCATTTTATCACAGATGGCACTTTGGAGTTTGTGTTAATGGAACAGTCACAGCTACTAGAGAATTTCTTTCTCCAATGCAGGCTGTGGTCCTGGAAATCTGTATGGAAATTTCTCTATCAACACTTCAACAAAACCCAGTAAAATCAGGGGCAATTATTATAATAAGATATAGGTGTACTTTGGGATGGAAATAAAAGGCACTCCTTTAGACAAAGAGACGTGGGTATCTAACACAAATCACCTATTAACATTGTTGAAGCCAGTGTCCTGGACTTCTTCAGGAAAGACTAAATGAATCGTGGAAAATCTCACTCAGAGATTTGTGTCTTTTTTTTTGCTATGTTAACTTCACATTGACATCTTTATACCCATCCCCACGTCTTTGAACATAAATTAGTCATTTCTGTGTCTCTGGGGAGAGTAAGTACAATCTCTGTTTCATCTCCAAGTGCACAGTTTGTACTTGCAAAGGAAATCTAAACAAATTAAAATAAGCATAATTGAATAGTTAATCAGGTTGAGAGATTTCTGAAGGAGATATAACCAGAGATAAGCCTTTAAATCCATATATTTGGAATGTGCAAAACATTATGTATTAAATACCATGCCTGCTTAATGTGAAGTATAATCACAGTATTAAATTTACAGAACAGCAACCTCAGGCATCAATGTCTAAAATGGACCATTTGAACTATTGAATCATGTGTTCAAATTTGTTTCACTTCAGCATCTTCTGTCCAATGCTCTGTATAGGAAATTTCCTTGAACATTTTGTGATTATATGAAGGTTTCTAGTGTCTAGTGCATTCACAAGCTAGTTAATATTTTTTTATAACAAACAAATAAAGAGCTAAACTGTAGTTCAATTGACCTATCACTAATTCATTAATCTGAATTACCAAACAATTTCTTCAGAAGAACCAATGAAATCAGGTTTAGCAAGACCTAGACTAAACTGTTATAGATGCTTGTGCACACAGATGCAAATCTTGAATAACAATGGGTATCATCAGCTGAGCAAGTAACATCTAGAGCAACTCAGCAGGTAGGTGTTACTGTACATCTAGAGTTTCAACATGTTTGATTACTACTTGACCAGAAACTGTTCATCTTTTATTTTTGACACTGAACAAAAACCAGAAATTCCAGAAATCCAAGAGACACATTCATCAACAACATCATCACTGTTTCTGAAGACAAAAAGCTAAATCTGAGGATTCTGACATCTCTTGTGGAGTGTTATTAGCTGGAAATAGTTAAGAAGGGTTGAAAGTGAGGAGGGGTTAGAGAGTCTGTTGATGAAGGTAAAAGAAGAAAGTGCAAAATCTGGCCTGCTGCTTAACATAAAAAAATGAAGATTACGTCAACGGCTCATATTAATACTTTGCAAACAGATGGAGAAGAAGTGGAGGTAGTGACAGATTTTATTTTCTTGGGCTCAAGGATCTCAGCAGATGGTGATTGTAGCCATGAAATCTAGTCACTTGCTTCTTGGGAGGAAAGCTATGGCAAATCTGGATAAGACATTAAAATGCAAAGACATTACATTGTCAACCAAGATCCATATAGTGAAAGCTACGGTCTTCCGTAGTAACATATGGACGTGAGAGTTGGACTATAAGTAAGGTTGTGCGTCAGACAATCGATGCTTTTCAACTGTGGTGTTTGGAGAAAATTGTTGAGAGTTACTTGGACTGCATAAAGATCAAATCAGTCAATACTCAAGGAAATAAACACAGATTGTTCATTGGAAGGATTGATAGTAAAACTAAATCTCAAATACTTTGGCCATATAATGCAAGGACAGGATTCAATGGAGAAGACTCTGATGTTGGGAAACATTGAAGTGAAAAGAAAAAGGGGGTGGCAGAGGTTAAGATGGATAGATAGTATAACTGAAGTAATGAATATGAATTTTCAAGAGCTCAGAGAAGCAGTTGTTGACAGATAGGTCTGGCATCATAAAGTCCGTGAGGTCACGAAGAGTCGGACTCGACTAAATGACTAAACACACAGTGTTAAGAAGGGGCTCATGGTTCCCTTGTTTAAATGAATCAGGTGAGACATCATGGGTAACAGTACCAGAAAAATCTTATTGCTACAACTCTAATACTGTATTCAATAGTTCCAGCAAATTCTAATTATGAAGAAATTAGCTGATGAACATAAAGCATTACAGATGTCAAAAAGATGTAGGAGAAAGGAAATGTGAGATTAGAATTTGATCTCCTTCCGAGTTACTTCTAAATGACGTCCAAAAGACTTCACTTCCTGGTCAAATGTCACTCTTCTGTAGCCGTCTGACCTTTGCTCCAGATAGCCTGAACTGTGTTTGGAAGAGATCACTGGATCACACAACACTGAAAGGGGCACTGGTCATGTCTAATGCAAGTTTGGATTAATATTTAAGAAAGAACAAGACCTCTGAAAAGGCAACTCCATCAAGAATTCCATTCTGCTGTCAGAAATTGCGGGTCTGTGGCTCTACCTTTTTCTCCCTCTCAATAACACTGTCTGCAACTTAGTTTCAACTTGTTTTATTAAAACTTGATTTTCAGGAGTCACTTGTACAAGATGTCCAGTAGAAGGGTAATAATATTCTGCTCAGTCTCAAGGGAAAAAAAAACAAACATTCTAGGCACATAATGAGCAGATATAGCAGATACAGAATGGACAGGTTTAAGTATCCATGTCAGTTCATATGAAGGCTCAAGAATAAAATGTAGTTTGGGTTGTCTTATTAGGCTCCAGTATTTCTAGGTATCACTTAGATCTGTAGAAGCCCCTATCTAGGTGCGATTGGTTTATTCTTCCTTAGTTTTCTCTCACACTCTTCAGCCAACACAAATAGATACATTTCGACTTGTTTTTCAGCCTACATCATGTTACATAACAGGCTCCCAATCTTGGTCCTGAAGGCCCAGACGGCTCTGGTTTTCATTCCATCTGATCTTAATTACTTTATTGAAGCCTTAGTTTAACTAACAAGTTACTTGCTTGGACTATGTGTAAGTCTTTCTTTCTACTCTGACTTTGGGATTTTATTTTACTTATGAAATTTGAGAATTGAGCACCATGATGGTGCAGTGATTAGCATTTTAAGGTTCAATTGTGGACCTGGGGTGCTATCTGCGTAGAGTTTGTATGTTCTTCTCAACTTCACTTGTGTTTCCTCTGGGTCCTCTGGTTTCCTCCTACAAACCAAAAACATACTGGTATATTAATTAGCTTCTGAGAATAATGGCCCTGGTTTGAGTTTGGCTATGTTTGTGTCTGTGTCTGCCCTGTGATAGACTGGCATCCCATCCAGGCTATATCCTGTCTTGTGCCTGTTGGTTTGTAAAATAGGCTCCCTTAATTGGAAGAGCTGGTAAGAAAAAGAATGGATGTAATGTGATAGTTAACAGGTGACCTCCAGTTCATTTAAGAGCTGGAAGCTCTGTCAAAACAGTTCACATTAATCCTATTATCAGGTGAAATAGGTTTAATTGCAAAACTGAAACCTTGGCTGGAACAAAACCCAGCAGGTCTGTGGGCCTCCAGGACCAGGATGGAGAAACCTCTGGGTTCAGTGCAATGGGGCCACAAAAAAACTAGATTTGTGTGTGTGAGGAGTTCTCATATAATGAAGATTGAGAAAAAGGAGAGGAGGCGTTTCAAGAAACAGTTCCAATAAAGTAATTTAGGTTTAAAATAACATACTGTAGAAGAAATGCTGCTGTAACAACCTTTCTTAAAAAAATGCATGACGTGTGCTTCAAACAAAAAGTAAACAAACATACATAAGTGTCTTATTTTATGTATTTATGTCTTATTGTCTTATTGTCTTATTATCTTATTTTCTTTCTTTTGGTAATTCAAATAACTTTTTTCAGCAGTAAATGTAGTTCGACATATTCTGACACTCTGTATACTTTTTATGTTTCTGTAAAACTACTTAGACCATATTTTCCTATATTGTAACCTCATTATTTTAGGAGTGAACTTGCTTTAAGCCTTTAAACTTTAACATTTAGTTTGTAGTGTACTGTACACAGTTCACAGCTTGTACAATTCTTTCATAATCTGCTTTTTAAAAATTCTAAACTATGACTGCAGACTCAAGATTTAGAGATTTAAAGCATACATCGTAAGTAACTGTATTATGACACAATTGTCTAGTGGCTCTGTGACATCTGTTCCCTGAATTACTGTATATCCCAGTTGTTGGAAAAGTCTAGTTTAATAAGACCATATTTCCAAGTAAGGGCCCTTACAAAAATGGAATACTAAGCAACCATTAACCATTGCAACCATATCAGTTTCTGCTTCAGTATTTTCACTCCTACATCCCTACAGATTCCAATTTATGCACGGTAAATGTAACCTCTCAATAATATAAAACCTCCTGTGTTACATACAGTACTTTCTCTTCCTCATCATACAGTAGGCTATGTGTGTACATACATACAACTAGTGTTTAATCATACTTCAGTTTTTTGCTTCGGTTCTCTACCTTTCCTATGCAGAGAGCCTTTCCAAAAAACATGTACATTTCTTAATTTTACATTCAATCCCTCTCACCATCCTTAGCCTTTATTCCTATAACATCATTATCTGTTAATGCTATAGCCTTGAGATAATGCACCTTGTTCCTTATTCTTCTAGCACTAAGGTATAAGAAATGACCTTTGAGTTCCCTGCCCTACCAAGTTTAAATACTGTACTCCTCCATACCTCAGTGTCTCTCAGATTCAAGTACAAACTGTCATTGAAACTTCCATTTACATTCACACAGACATGCCAATGATAGACTATCCTGCCATCATTCTGATTTTTCTAAAACCTTCAATGTATACTGATTGGTTATTCAAGTGAAATTAAGTGTTTTTATTGGTGTCTAGGTATGGGGCAGCTATGATATAAATGACCATTCCAATTAATATAAACACATCCAATGTCTTTTAACCTGCTAGTCTTTAGATCTGAGGAGCAATAAAAGTCTAGACTGTCATATTTAACAGATTAGCTTCACTCTCTACATAGATCACATAGTTTAAAGGTTAATATGATAAGTTTCGCTGATCGAAACAAAACCCTTCATTCTTAAACTACATGCAGGGGGAAATAAAGGTCACACTGACAGACAGATTAGGTAGCAGACTTACCTTATAAAACACAGAAAAAATGAAGCAGGATGTTATGTAACCCAAATAGAACCCCAGCACAGAAAGACAAGGGTAAGGATAGATTAACTAATAATTGCAGACTGAGTGTAAAATCTTCTCATCTTCATCCAGCTGCACAGCTGACTGGCACTAGGGATCCTTGTCCCGTAAACTCAATGCTGTGCTCATCCTGTGACACCCCTTACCTAAAATATCCCCCATTGTTTGAATGCCTATTTTAGATCTTAGAGTATTTGAAAATTAGGGGGGAGAGGCAGCTGTCGCGCTTATTGAACAATAAAAGTATTCCATTGTCAGGCACCCTTCCCCCTTTAACTTAACCACATGACTGACAGAGGCAGAGCTACCCAGGCACAGAGCTGTGCCCTATGGTGTGAGATTATTATTAGCATTGCAGTGCATGGTTGCTTAACCTTTGACCCTGCCACCAGGACCACAGCCTGTATTAAGCTTGTATTACCGCAGTGAAAATAAACATACTTCCTCAAATTAATTAGACACTTTCTATGCTTCCCATCTTTCTAAGCCCAAAATGGTTTTCCAAACTGGACAGTGACTGAATAGATTTTACTGGAAAATCAAAATTTCCCAAATTAAGCTTTCAACTATACTATACAAAAGAATAAAAAGCAATTCATGATTTCCCTCGAACTCCAGATTTTAGTCAAAAGCTTAAACCAGAATCAGTTGGATCCAACCTCTTGGATGGAATAAGACCAATTTAGTAGCCCAGTTTAACTACAGCATCTTCCTCTTCTTGGTAATTCTGCTAAGAAATTAGGTTGTTTAAAACAATCCATGTATCTCATCCACAATAGAAGCATGGCTTAAGATCCACCAAATTCTTCAAAAAAAAGTTTAATTCTCTTTGCTTGCTTCTTGCTTGCAAAATTAGCACAATTATATTCCCTTTCCCAAAACCAGTTATGTACATGCAGTTATGTCAGGTACTGTAAGTAAAGCAAAAATTACTTTAATTTCAGTATTACCTTATTATTCAAAGTTTTCACTGTATTCCTTAATCAGTCAGGAAATGGGCACGTTGTCCAAAATATACAGAATCGATGCTGCATTAGACATTGCAAAGTAGCTATTTTTTGGGAAGTGAGCTTCTGATTTTTCTTTAGACAACTCATTACAATTCTGGACTTCTGAATGTTTTAAAACTTTTAAATGTTCAAATAATTAAAAAATCCAGTTATTCAGTACAAAGTTTTACACCACATACTCTACATTTCACTCAAGGGATGCTTTCTCTTATGGGACTTGGCAATACTAAAATATGTCAACGCAGCAGTGAATTAGTACCTGACAATCACCTACTGTACATACTGTACTTTCAGGAAATGCTACCCTGCTTTTCAGTTCTGGTCTCACTTTACATTAACCCTGTCTGACATCCTTGGCACGTGTATTCCTCTTGACGCTGTGTTAGGTTTTATTGGGCATCCCAGTAAGCTCAAAGTCTCAAAATACTCTTCCAGTGTCTTACTCCTGTCATGTACTGTAGCTAATATGTTTATATTATTTAACTGCAGGATAAATAAAAATGATTTCTCTTTCATAATGGACATTAAGACTGAAAATCTTTTGCTTGAGAAACCTTTTATGTCTGTAATCAAATGCTATACTTGGTTGCCATTCATGAATTATTTTAATTTGGATGGGATGAATGCCTAACCATTTATTACTAATAGTATTAGATTTTGTATTTATTCTCTGATCCTGAATATATTGGCTCCCCTCTTCATCTTTATTCTATTTTCCTTCATTTGCTATTTTTGCCTTTACTTATTGCTGAAGTATCTATTCTTGCTTATTCTGTTTTTATTGTGTGATTTGCACAGTATGTTTTTTATTTTCGACTCAATGGCCTTTGGGGAGTTGTAATGTATGTTTTATGTATTATGTAAATACAAAGAAAAAAAATAGTTCCAGGCATTGGAAATCGAATGCTTATCATCCAAGGAAGGCTTTGGATGAATGTGTCAGTCAATTTATAACATGGGCCTTTTGCAGTCCCTTACTATTTCATGTCATACATGCAGGTGTCTGCTTATGCTTGTGTTCTTTTTATCTCATGACAGTTTGCCAAACAAAGGTTTAACAAGTTGCACTCCTATCTAATTTACTCAGGACTAGCAGCAAACAGACAATAAAACGTCCACAAGAGGATGTTTATAGTACTGAAGATGTCAAAGGGGGATCAAATACAGTATGTGCAAGTGTGGAGCATTTATTTTGTGAATCAGGAAAAAGAGATGGTTAGTGCAAGAGTGATAGCGGCTATGAAGGAGATGGACCGGTAACACTGGCAGAAAATGGAGAGTAGGCATTTTGTACCTGTAAGATAGCTTAGTAAAGCACAATCTGGGTACAGAGGATTGTGGGTAAAAAAACAGGACAGATAATAATAATAATTACTTAAACTTATATAGCGCTTTTCTGGATACTCCACTCAAAGCGCTTTACAGGTAATGGGGACTCCCCTCCACCACAACCTGGATGATGCGATGGCAGCCATAGTGCACCAGAACGCTCACCACACATCAGCTATCAGTGGGGAGGAGAGCAGAGTAATGAAGCCAATATGTCAATATCATAGAGGGGGATTGTTAGGAGGCCATGATTGATAAAGGCCGATGGGAAATTTGTCCAAGACGTCAGGGTACACCCCGTACTCTTTTCGAAAAACGCCCTGGGATTTTTAATAACCACAGAGAGTCAGGACCTCGGTCTTACGTCTCATCCGAAGGACGGCACCTGTTTACAGTATAGTGTCTCCATCACTACACTGGGGCATTAGGACCCACATGAGCCGCAGGGTGAGCGCTCCCTGCTGGCCTCACTAACACCTCTTCCAGCAGCAACCTTAGTTATTCCCAGGAGGTCTCCCATCCAGGTACTGTCCAGACTCATACCTGCTTAGCTTCAGAGGGTTGCCAGTTGTGAATTGCAGGGTGATATGGCTGCTAGATCCATCACATCCAATAATGAATTGGATGTGATGTGAGAGACATGCAAAAGACCGACATACTGCGATGTGGCTCTTACTAGATACAGTAGGACCTTCTACAACCTGCTCTGATTCTTCCATCTCTGTTGACATCAATCACTACAAATACAACTGCAACAATACCTCCCTGCCTCCTTCCCCCCCTCCCTCTGAATCTGTCCTGCTCTGCTGTCACATTCCTTTATTCACCAGCACCTCCTATGGGAGTCTCTGGAACTTCCATTCCTTTTCTATCTCACAGAGAAGCTGGGTCGGTTATAATTCTGAGAGGTGGGTAACAGTATGTGCAGGAGTATGTAGTTGCACTACTCCTACATTCTGTCGTCTGCCTGGAAAGGATCATTGACACCACACTCACAGCAACACTAAGGCAAACATTTTTCCCACTAACAAGGCTTGATTGTTCAAGGTGTAGTGCAGACCTAACTGCACACACTCAATATGGCCGTCCTTTTCATCATCTGTTGTTTTCAAAATTGCTTAGGAGTAATTACAGTATATTAAACATTTTAATTTGAAATCATCATGTAAAAATTCAATGCCAGAAATAGCTATACTATATAACTATACAAATATTACAGCTTTGAAAAATATCACTGTAGAATGCAGTAAATCTTTATGTAGTTTAAGACTGTAAATCCCTATGTGTATCAGCTGGACTACAGCTATCGATATTTAATTTTTTCATTGCAGTTTCAATGCCAATGTCAGTAGATCTCTGACAGTTGAGTAGTGTTGTCTCACAGCTCTTCTAGCTCAATTGGAATTTTGCATGTTCTCCCCGGGTCTTTGTGAGCTTTTCTTAAGGTTTTCTCCTGCCCCCACAGACACGCTGGCTTATGGTGTCTCTAAATTGTGTGCAAATCTATAGAAGTTCTGTTAGGACAAAGCCATTGTAATTGTCATAGTAAGGAAAACATTGGTGATGTAATTATAGATTATATTAATATGCATCCATTTAATTTTATACTGAAAGAGAAAAAAAAAACCTCTAGCTGATGGTGTCCTTTCAGTAGACCATGCATGACAGAAAACGAAAGTCCATGCATATATATTATTACAAATTAAGCAGATAAGGAAATACGAATCCCAGCAGGATATTTAATAATTAAAATAAATCATTTTAACTGTCAAAGGTATGCCAGGAATATACCTGAAACTGGTATAGTTTGAGGCATTTATGTTATTTTTTTTCTGTGTCACTGATGTGGCGAAAGAGTAATAATTCAGTGGCAAATTGTGATAACCAAATATTTATTAATACTGATAACAACACAAACTAAACAGTACAAAAGACGATACACATCATACAAGTTAGCCTATTTACAAACAAGATGTTTCAGAGGCCTACAGTACATCCTGACCAAACAGAAAACCCCAGATTGCTAGCCTAGCACTCCAAAATCCTATATAATGCTAAAGAAGGCTCACAAGATAATTCCTTAATAACCAGACCAGCATCCTAAATAAAACAGAATATGGCCAGGATCTAAATCATCCTTCATAGAAAGTTCCAAAGTGGCAATCTATTCAAAAATTAATTACTAACCTGTAGATAATGTCTTTACACTGGGCATTCCTTAGAAAGGAAATCAGTTTCCTAAAATAGCAGAACAGCAAAGCATGGTTCAACATGGCTCAAATGCTTAGCTAGAATCTGATCATTAAGGTTGATTAGAACCAGGTCTTCTCATCTAACATGTTTCTTCTTTCTCCTATCATTCTGTTGTCTGTTTCCTCTTCCTTCCCTTTTCTGCTTCTGTCTGTGTTATTATATTGTGCTTCTAGAATGTTGGCGACTCTATTGACTACCATAACTCCTTAGAAACCCTTCTTTTGATGTTTGCCTCTCAGACCACATAAAGCCCCGTAAAAACATTGTCTTCTAATTGTTTCTAGATCTACATGCAAAGGTTTAGCCTAGCATATACTAAAAAAAGCACATGATTAAGAACTGCAACAGATTCACAGTTATTATGAGGAATTCTTGTTTGTAGCAGGTGCAGGAAGTTTGCTGAGCAGACATGACACAGACAAATTTGTTCTGCTCATTAACATTTGGCATCAACACCGTCACAGGCTAGTAGTGTGTGACCACCGCTGGAA